CACACGTTTACTTAGCTATCTAAATGGGGACATTCCACAGGCGTAATGGTTTTTATACTGTACAAACTGTATATTCTACCACCCTACACCAACCCTACACCTAAACCTACCCCTCACAGGAAACTTTCTGCATTTTTACAATTTTAAAAAAACTTTAAAACTTTTGTTTACTGGTATTTTTATACCAGTTTTACAAATGAGGACGTCCCCAAAGGGAGGTTTTTGGAGATTTTGTCAGGTTTAGCTCACTTTTGGGTACAAATGTGTCCCCAAAATATAGTTAAGTAGGTACACACACACACACACACACACACAAACACACGACTGCTAATGCTATCTGTGTCCTGTAGCTTAAATAGTGTGTCTATGGCTGTGGATTGGTTGATCTGTAGGTAGTTGTGGACCCTCCCCGTGACACCGGTCCCCATAATGAGGTTCTGCAGGGAGTTTCAGAGCAAGGCATCACAGGCCAGCTGCATTGGTTTGTTGGATCGTTCTCGCTATTTTTCAGTGTCTCATCACACATTTTATAATACGTACAGCTATAATTAAAAACACAAATGTGTCTGTAAACTCGCAGATGTTCAGTGTGTGCAAATGAAAATCATTAATGCTTCATTGCTTCAAACACTCACATTCATGCCTAAAATCTAGGAGAACACACTCACACTGATCTAACTTACACTGGTGTCACAAACTGTGAAACATCTGCCAGGCAGCCCAGGAGCAGTGCATTGTGGGAGCAGCTGCACTTAATGAAAGGAATATGAATAGCACAAGGTAAAAAACAGAGGGAAAAGGAGGAAAGGAAGAAGAAAGGAGGAAGACAGAGAGGGACAAAAAGAATCGAATGCAGTCCAGATTGCTAGGAGCGCTCGGTTCCAGATAAGGCATATACCGCGACAATGTTTATAAGCGTGAAACCTGGAAACACAGCGATTTAATTTATCACAACAAACATAGTCATGACGGAGTAAAAATTTGCACCTTGATGTAGGTTTGGTGCTGCCATATTTTTTTAGGCTACTGAACCATAATTTAAAATCGACTTACTCTTTATTTTCCCCGTAGCATTGTCACAAAGTTGCATAATAAATTTAATCTGAAAAAGTGTCAAGAATACATTTCAGAAATTTGACATTTCAATCATCATTGCATATCAGCAGCACCATTTATAATTACAGTCCGTCTAAACAGTTTTAGGAAAGTCTCTATCGCCATCTAGTGGTTATAGGCCTACGTGTAATTTGGGTTAGCTGTGTTGGAGAAAAAGTCTGACATATTAATTTAAAAAAAATACTTTTACAGTTGAAATGCATATTATGTTTGTAATCAGATATTAAGTATCTTTTTATGTGCCAATTTATTGATGCATTTATTCCTACTTCAATAGAAAGACGTCTATTGTCTTGTGCTTATGCAACATGTTGTGTGATTATGTGACTGTTATGATAACGCATATACAGTATAGGCGGTTTATTTTAATTAGTGTATGGTTGACCAAATAATTCATAATAATGAGAAAAATCCTGTTATACCACA